CAAATGTGCTCACACACATACACTCATACAACACACTTGCACAAAGCAGAATATAGGACAACATAAGAAAGAAGACTTTTAAAAAGAGAAAATATGATGCTTAAAGTATAATCGATATTAATTCAACTATATCGATAATTGAAATGATGTGAATAATCTAAACATGCAAATAAGCAGAGAGATGGTAAGAGTGGATATGAAAATAGAGCCAACTAAATATTGTCTGCAAGAAACCTATCTCAAGTACTGCACCTCAAACTAAAGAATAAAAGGAGGCTATGTACCAATGCTCACCAAAGAAAGCAGAAAAGACTCCATCCTCTAGAGAAAAAAAATGGATACTTCAAAACAGGGGGTCGTCAAGGACAACAAAAAGCATTACCCAATGACAAAGGGTTAACTCTACAGAAACCATTAGCAATCCTCCACACATGTGTGCCAACAGCATGGCATCAAGGCATGCCACCCAGGAAAACTGAGAACTAAGAGAGAAATGAACAAATACTCTGTTAAGACTGGAGACACTGAACTCCCATCAATAGTTGATAGGACAAGTAGACAGAAAACCAACCAGGATAAGCTGGCCTCACTATCTGTCACCTAATCTAGTGGCTATATACAAAATCATTCATCTCCTAGCTTATGTGTCTTGTGCTCACATGAAGCATTCACCAAGACAGACCACGGGCTGGGTCAGAAGAACAGCTCAACACACTTTACAGGGCCATTCAACGTATGTTCGAAGACTAACCAAAGCATAGCTGGAAAGCCCCCGAGATTAGTAAATTAAATAATATACTTACAAGTGATCTCTGGACAAAAGACATTTCAAGAGAAATTAAAATGTTATTCGAACTAAGTAAAAATGAAAAATACTAAAATTTTAGGGAATTGTTGTAAACAGGACTTGGGGACATTTATAGCATTGAATGCATATATTATCAAAGAAGAAAACTAAAATAGACAATCTAAGCTTCCACCCTAAGAAGTGAAAAAGAAGCACCTGCTAATTCTATGTTTTTGTTTTTTTTAAGAATCTTCACACTGTTTGTTTTTAAACAACTTGTACTAATTTTAAACTAGCAACAGTAAACCTTTCTCAGCACCCTCACCATTGGTTATCATCATCTCTCTGACAACAGCCCATCCAACAGACATGACACCATATGCTGTGGTTCTCCTTGTATTCCTTAACTGGAGATGTGCAGGGTTTGTTTTTTTTTTTTTTTGTTTTTTTTTTTACATATGAAATCAGTATGTTTAAGAGATAGCTGCATTCTCTGCTCACTGAAGCCCTCTTCACCACAGTCAAGATTTGAAATCAGCCTGGTTTTCCATCAGTTCAAGAGCCTCTTTTAAAATGTGGTATATGTACACAGTGGAATACTATCCAGTCCTTGAGAAGAACTGCTGCAACCATGAATGAGCCTAGAGGACAATAATGAAGTGAAGAAAGTCGGATACCAAGAGACAAGGTCAAACCACTTTGCTTACTGTGAAATTTTCAAAGGTCACAGTCCCAAAAGTACATATGATGGTGATTAGTAGGCTGAGGGTATTGTATATGGAGGAAGGGGAACCACTGGCTGAGAGATACAAAGCTACAGTTAAGTAAGCTCTAGTGCCCTGTTGTACAGCAAGATGACTACATTCACACTGATGTACTGTATACTTAAAATAGTGAAAAGAAAAGGTCTTTATAGCCAGCCAGGTGGTGGTGGTGCATGCTTTTAATCCCAGCACTTGGGAGGCAGAAGCAGGCAGATCTCTGTGAGTTCGAGGCCAGCCTGGTCTACAGAATGAATTCCAGGAGAGGCTCCAAAGCTACACAGAGAAACCCTGTCTTGGAAGAGAGACAGAGAGAGAGAGAGAGAGAGAGAGAGAGGGAGGGAGGGAGGGAGGGAGGGAGGGAGGGAGGGAGGGAGGGAGGGAGGGAGGGAGGGAGAGAGGGAGGGAGGGAGAGAGAGAGAGAAGGTGTTTATAAATTCTAGCTAAAAGAAGTTATAAATAATGGCACTAATTAATATGTTAATTACTCTTAGTCTCTTGGTCTGGAGGGCAGATATGTATCAAGACATAAATATTGTACCCCATAAATATGTATATTTGTTGGTCAATTTAGAAGTAAAATAAAACTTTAAAAATAAAATTTTAAAGATTAAATTAAGCCTAAACCAAACTGACAAAAAAATGTAAAAATCAGATGAAACCTTTGTTTTCAGGAAGATGAAGTTAATACACTTTCCTCAAAGTTCAAATCTAGGGCGTTACATGTAAAGCAAAGGCAGGAAGACTGAAAGGGGGAATAAGGCAGACCTGAGAGCATGAGATCTGGAGAGTGATGTGGGGTCAAGTCTCTGGACTTCCTTCTAAGCTCACATATTCCAGATTGAAGGCTGAAGATGGTAACAAGCCAGAAACTGCAAAGGCTTTCTGTCCTAGGCCATCTGGTCAAAGGAGGTGGAGGTGGCCTAGGACAGAAAGCCTTCAGTAATAGCTGCTCTACATCCACCAGACACCACAGAAAAACCACGTCTACACTGACACCATGCTGCAAAGCCCAGCAGAGAGCCCATCCCTCCTCCCCTGCAAAACCATGACAAGACACCCCAACATTCCCACTGGGATAATGTCAGAGAACATCGAATTGACTTCCAGAACTGTCCACACAACCCTCCACATGTAAGTGTCCCCCTTCACCAGTGTAAGTGGAGACAGAGAACTGGGGCTTCCACCCACACTTGACAGCAGGTCTGAGGTCTTCCTTTCTTGCTGGCATGACGTCTTTCCAGTAAGACCTACCAGAAAGCCCCTATGATGACCAGGCCATCCCGTGGTGGTGGCCTTGAAATCACATGAGGAGGTCTCACAACCTGACGGAGGTCGTGTCTGCATCTCATACTCTATCTGAGCTGTGTCAAAGAATGTAGCTGAGGCAGACAGCTTAGACAAGATCCAGGACTTCAGAACATGATACCAAAGTGTCTGTTTTAATTGACAATTGCAATGAATCATTGTGAAGGACCGATGTCACTTTAGACTGCAGGTAAAGGGAGGATGAGGAACACCATGAGCCTTGGCAGACAATGGGATGATGTGTCAAGGATTCTAAGGCTCTGAGACTTAAGAAGATTTCAAACAGCAATCACAAACATGGGTGAAACAAACACAGAAAACAGAGACTTAATGTCTTAGTTATATTTCTTATGGTCAGTGCCAGCAATTAGAAGACACAAGTATGAATGAAATGGAAATTTGAGAACTGAAAAACTATAGCAATGAGATAAGTTCAATAGATAGACAGTCCTCCCCTCCCCCCCCATCAAGACCATGTGGAACAAGGCAAGTAGTGGGCAAGAAAACAGAACAAGGGAAATCCAACAACCTTAGCAGATAAAACCAACGGCAAAATACCAGAGCCTCAGAAACAACTGTAGCTGCAGCAGGTAGTTCACATCCATGCTACTGAGATCCTGGAAGGGGGAGAAAAGGATGAGACTGAAAAAAAATACTTAAAGAAACAGTGGCTGAAATTCTCCATGTAAAGCTGCAGCCTTGGGGAACCAAATAAACCACAGGAGAGCCAGCAACATGTTAAACTGAAAACCAAACACAGCAGGATCCAGCCAACCTGAAAACCATATAACACCTAACAATACACTACATGCCAACAGAAATTACCAGAATAGACAGTAGGCTGGGACACAGAAAAAAAAAACTCAGCAAAGTTAGAACAATCCAAATAGAATTTGTTCCAGACCACAATGGGACAAGCTAAAAAATAAATAAATAAATAAATAAATCAACAAAACAAAAACAGAAATAGAAATATGACAGAAAGTGCCCCCAAATACTTCAAAGCTACATTATATAACTCCAAATAATCTCTGGGTGAAAAAATAAAGTCTCAAGAAACAAAAACTATTCTAACTTTTTTTTAAAAAAAAAAAAACGTAATTGAACAAATCAGACGCTGAGGAACACATCCAAGACGACGCTGAAAGGAAAAATTTTATGGCACTAAATGTTGTAAAATGAAGGCATGTCTTCAATGGATCCCATAATTTTCCACATGAAGAACCTTGGACATAGACGCATGCCAGGGGACACAGGCATGAACTGAACCAGCATCCTGGGGTCCTGAGTTCAACCCTGGCTGTAGCAAAAATAAAGGAGAACAAAGTGAACCCAAAGAATAATATAGTCTGAAGTTTTCTCTGGTCCCACCCTGCCCTGCAGTCCCGCAACCACTTATAAAATAATCATTCAGAGGCTTAATATTATTTACAAACTGTATGGTCTATGGCAGGCCTCTTGCTAGCTGGCTCTTATATCTTAACTTAACCCATTTCTTTTTATCTGTAAGTTGCCACGTGGCTGTGGCTTACCAGTATTTTCATATCTTTCTTCTCCTGGCGGTGCTGGGGTCTCCCCAGACTCCACCTTTCTATTTCCTGTCTCTCTCCTTGGATTTCCCGCCTGCCTCTAAGCTCCCTTGCCATAGGCCAAAGCAACTTATCTATCAACCAATGGGAACAACATGTATTCACAGCATACGGAAAGACATCCCTCAGCAGAATAAACTAATAGCCACAGGAGAAATAACAGAATACAAAACAGGATGATAGGAAAACCAGCAAAGGGCCAGCAAGGCTGGGGAGCATGGCACCCCTAATCCCCTGACAGAATGCAAGTGTCCAAGCCACACTGCCATGCTGTCTCTGACAAAGCTAAACACAGCCTTCCACCAAAACCATCAGTGGGTCTGCCAGGCATCCATCCAAGTGATAAGACAATATTCATCCACCCCCAAACCTGCACAAGGATCTTCCCAGCTAATACTTACTCATATTCACCAAGGACTGAGAACCATCAAGACACCCTTCAAGAGGCCAATCAGCAAACGGCACATCCACACTGTGGAAACTATTTGCTGATAAGACACAGGAGGCACTGAGTTAGAAAAAATTAAGAATGAGTGTTGAATGTATGCCACTAAGGAGTAAGTCCAGTTGATAAGGCTTTACACTGTAAGAATCCATTTATATGGTGTCTGGAAAGGACCAAACCATTATGTGGGTCTTTGATTTGAGGTGGTCCTGAGAGAGGTGAGAACCTGAGTTCAGATCCTCAGAATCAAGGTAAATCCAGACACAATAGCACATGCATCTATAACCTTCACATCCCTTGTGGTGGTTTGAATAGGAATGGTTCCCATAAGCTCATATATTTGAATGCTTTGTCACCAAGGAGTGGCACTACTTGAGAGGGATTAGGAGGTAGAGCCTTGTTGGAGTAGGTGTGGCCTTGTTGAAGGAAATGTGTCACTGGGGGTGGGCTTTGGTGTTTCAAAAATCTCAATCCGGGCCCAGTGTCTCTATCTGCTGCCTGTGGATCTGGATATAGAACTCACAACTTTTCTAGCACCATGTCTGTCTGTGTACTGCCATGTTCCACACCATGACACAATAGTCTGAACCTCTAAAACTACAAGCCAGCCCCAATTAAGTGTTTCTTTGTAAGAGTTGCCATGGTCATGGTGTCTCTTCACAGCAGGAGAACACTGACTGAAACACCCCTGGAGATGAGGGAGGAGAATGCCCAGAAGGTGTAGGCCAGCAAGACTCCGCGTCTTGAACAAGGTGGAAGGTGGGAGACACCAGGAGTTGTTCTGCAAGTTCTATGTGCATGCTGTGGCACATACATAGCCATACTCATATATGCACACACACATACATACACACATCTGCACCACACATGTAGGACAAACATACGAGTTGTTTTTTGTTTTTTGTTTTTTGTTTTTTGTTTTATTTCAAAAGAATCTAACTACATTACAGATCTATAGATCTACCTTGCTGGAGAGGTATGGGGGAAAGTGTGGATTGAATGGTTTTGGAAATGAGGGATGTCTTTTAACCCAAAGGCAAAGGACAGCACATGAGTGCTCAGCTTCTGGCCCTGGGCCATCCCCAGGCTGCAACTGGGTGGTTCTTTTCCCCAACAAGGTGATTCTGCAGCTTGGCCTTAAATTTCAAGTTTATCCACGGGAGCAAATATCACTGTGCTATTCATCTGCATGGAAAACGGACATCAAATTATAAAGACAAAATGTCCAGGGGAATTTGCCTGTCGTTGAGGCTTATCTTATTAAACCATCCTGACAATCCGTTCTCTTGAGCAAATAAATCTATCTTTAAATCAGCAAAAGTTGACCTGCTTCACTTTTGTCTTCTGTATGTAGAGAAGCCCACATGTGTGCCTGAGCGTACATGTTCATGTGTGCACATGTGTGTTTGCACACGTGTAGAGGTCAGAGGACAACCTCAACTGTTGTTTCCCAGGCACCTCTCCACCTTGTTACTTTGTGGCAGAGTCTCTCTCTTTGGCCTGGAACTCCTGAAGCAGGCTAGGCTGGTTACCAGTGAGCCACAAGGATCTGCCTGCCTCCACTTCCCCAGCAATGTCATTTCAAACATGTACAACACCCAGTTGTGTTTTGCTTACACTGGTTCTGGAGATTGAACCTGGTGACTGGGTTGTCTCCTCGGCCCAGAGATGTCTCCTTTTAAGAGACCTGGATTCCCCATTCCCTAAGCATAAGCCTGGCATGTAGCTAGAGTTTTCCTGCCTTGCCCACAGTCAGATCAAATCTTTGTCACCTGCCAGTCCCACAGCCGCTCAGACCCAACCAAGTAAACACAGAGACTTATATTGCTTACAAACTGTATGACCATGGCAGGCTTCTTGCTAACTATTCTTATAGCTTAAATTAATCCATTTTCATAAATCTATACCTTGCCACATGGCTCGTGGCTTACCGGCATCTTCACATGCTGCTTGTCCTGGCACAGGCTGGCAGTGACTCCTTCTGCCTTCCTGTTCTTTCTTTTCTCTTCTCTGTTAGTCCCACATATACTTCCTGCCTAGCCACTGGCCAATCAGTATTTTATTTATTGACCAATCAGAGCAACACATTTGCCATACAGAACATCCCACAGCACCGGCAGGTCTTGGTAATGGGAGATTTTGGAGGAACTGACAATTAGAAAATGCAGAGGACACTAGGATCCCTAAATGTGTGGCTCAATGTATACCCTAAGCCTGGCCAAAAGGAAACCCACCATGGACTGCTGACGAGAAAAAGTGTTTTGTGTTGGATGGGAGCTAAATCCAGCAGGACTATTAGCAGGCCGTTTAGATCCTGCATATTGTGATACCAACTAGAGAAGATAAGAGCCCAGCCACCCCATGGCTCTACTGAATCCATCCTGACTAGGGAAGAGCAAAGGAGGAAGGCCTGATGGTCTTTGTGCAAACATCTGAGCTGCACAGGGGCTCTGACCAGCGTTTTCTTTGACACAGTTAAGGAGCTTGGAGGAGCAGCCATGTTCTACCATGTCCAAAGGCCGATGCTGCTGTGAGGGCAACTCCTTCCTCTCCAGAGTAACAATGGCCCCTGGCCACCAGCCTGAACTGTCTGAGGGAACCACCAGCAGAGCCTGCCCACCGCTCCCACAGCCCTCCCTCTTGCTGGTTCAGACAGGCCACTCTACCTTTGCCTCCACACCCAGAGTTCCAGCTCAAGTTCATGCCTCTGCTTCCCACCTCAACCATGGGACATCTCAGGTTCAACAGAAGGAAGCCCAAGAAGGCTGCCACTCAACTTCACATGACTTGAGAGACACGGCAGCCTGTGGACCTGAGAAGCCCACTCTGTCCACTGTGGGCTCCCCTTACTTTCTCAATAACAGCCACAGTGACTGCTAACGAGCTAATGATTCTTATGACTGAAGAGAAACTGTCACCCTTCCTTCTAAAACCAAAGATAACTTTTTCCTTCCCCTAGCGTCCCTCCTTCCTTCACAAAACAGCAGAGAAGGCTAAACACACCTGGTTGCTTTTGAGACTGGCCCAGGGTGCAGGAACCTTGGCATGTGACAAGGAACAAATGATCCTTGAGGCCCATCTTCTTTCTGAGAATCATGTTCTATATCAGGTGGGGGAAGAGAACCCTCCTGGCTGAGATTTGCCCGAGAAAGCCAACTTTCTCTCTTCCCATTACACTTTGAATAGTTAAAATGTTAATATTTTTCTGGTCTCTAGGAACCAATGGTGATGGGAAAAGGTTACTTTTGAGATCCTCAAAGGATCTTGAAATTTAAAAGAAAATTATTCTTAAGAAGTAACTTGAGAGCAGATACAGAGTTGGACTTTAGGCAGACGGTGATTATGAGTGTGCTAATCTGCCTGGAGCTAGAACATCCCACGTGGATTCTGTGATAAAGGCTGGCAGCTGGCAGGAGTGTCTCGTGACATGGAGGAAAATGAGGTACTGCTGTACAGTGGACAAGCAGGAGAACACACGGGCTGCAGGGTCCCACCTGCTCCTGTGGGTCCCACCTGCTCCTGTGGGTCCCACTCATCAACCAGTCACTTACAAGCTCTGCAACCCAAAGAAAGCACCCCATCTTCCTCAGTTTCCTCCTCTGTGAAGTGGGAGTTATAGCAGTGATGATTCCGTTAGTGCTAACGTTTATTGAGATGATGCCCCACACAAATTTTAATGAAATAAAATGATAAAATAAAAACCTAGAGCTTACATTTGGCTGTTTTAGAAAATTCATTCAGAGATGCCTCCTGGGTTATAATGTCTTCTAGATTTGTTCATGCTATAGAAAATAGTAGAACCTTTTTCTCATTTACTTGGCCTTGTTTTGTATTTGAGACAATGTCTCGTGTAGCCCAGGCTAAACTGGACTTGTTCCATATCTGAAGCCAGCCTTGACCTCCCAGTCCTCCTGCTGCCTCCTGACGATTGGGATCAGATGTGTCCACCACAATGTCCAGCTGGTTTCTTTACTTTGAAAGACTAATATTTCATTTTATACACACACACATATAGATAGATAGATAGATATATAGATAGATAGATAGATAGATAGATAGATAGATAGATAGATAGATAGATAGATAGATAGATAGTTCCCAAGATATATATAATGTTCCCAAGGCCTTTAAAATCATCAAACTCATAAGACAGAGAATGGAGTGATGATGCAAGATGCTGAGAAGGGAGGTGATGGGGAACTGGAGATGATTGATGGGTGCAAGTTCCAGGAATGCTGGATAATGAGTTCTGAAGAGCTTCTGCACAAACCGCATATAGTTTGGCATGATGCTATGTGCACTCACTTATGAATGCTGAAAGAACAAGTCTTATGTGAGGTGTTCTTCACACACAGACATATACTCATATGCATATACAGCATACACACATATACAAATAGACTTGCACACATGTAATATATTAGCATGCACACATAAACATATGCGTAATATATAGACATACACATATTGATATGAATACACACACACACATAGCAGTACACCACAACCACCACCAAAGAACAACAGGACATTTGGGAGGTGATGGCCATGTTTGAAGCCTATGAACCAAGGAGGTTTGCATGTGTCCAGATGCACCCAACATACACGTTAGATATGTGCACTTTTATGTAGCAGCAGTTCCTCGGTAAAGCTTCAGAAGTGAGCAGTAATGACACCAGTAACACATGTGCAAAGAAGCCTGCAGTCAGATATGGAGCAGAGACCTCCCTTCTGATCAGTGCTGGCAGGGCCCTGAGGAGCTCTCCATAAAGCACACTCTCTTTTCTCATCCAGGAAATGAAGAACTCGGCTAGGAACTCTGGCAGGCTCTCACACTTGTCATGAGAGGCGATGCCAAAGACTGCAAGAGACAGTGCCCCAAGAGCCCTAAAGTGGCATGTCTAAGAGATTTGCAGGAAGCTCATCAGCCCACACACCTTCCAGGATGTTAAAAATTTGAACCAAGAGCTGAGAACTAATAAGATGCAGGAGGATAGAAAGGATATTAACCGCGATGTAGCTACTTCATTTTCCTGGCCTTCTGCAGAAAGTCCATGAATAAAGAAAGCAACCCGGTCACCTTATTGAGACCCAAATGCCTTTGTCATCAATCACAGATGGACGGCAGGGAAGGCTGCATGGAGTCTGATGGATTAAATCTTCCCAGGAACAATTTCTGCTTTTGGAGAAACAGAAAAACCTGTCTGCTTTCATCCCTCGTGCTCAATTATAGTCCACAGTTCAATTAAGCACATCAGACACCTGCTTCTCCTGAGACAAGGGTCAGAGTGAGGACTTACATGAGCACACGTCCTTCAGACTTTCCTGAGGGAAACAGAAAGACAGTGCAGATTGGGTTTCCTTCAGCGTGTGTCTTAGGCACTGACTTAGGAAGTGCATGTGGTCCTTAGCTCACACACACACACACACACACACACACGCCTGTATTTTCAGCTCAGGAGAATAGGTGGGAACTTC